ACTAAAGATACAAACATGTCCCTATTTTGGTTTGAATGTGAAATGCTTCCCTGAATCACGTGCTTGAGCAATTGGTCCCTAGCTAGTGGTATGTTTTGGAAGATTATAGAACTTTTAGAAGATGGAGCCTCATTGGAAGAAGTGGGTCACTGAGGATGGGCCTTGAGGTTTGTTAGCCTGGCCCCATTTCCTATTTGTTCTTGACTTCCTGACTACAGGTTCAGCATGACCAGATGCCTTATGCTCCAGCCACCATACCTTCCCTACCATAATGGACTGTATTTTCTTCACACTGTATCCTCTTGAACTATAAGCCCAAAGCAACCCTTCCTCCCATACACTGTGTTTGTGGGGTATTTTTTGGTCAGCACAACAAGAAAAGTAATTGATCCAGTCCCTAAGTGAAGAGTAGATTTTCTTAGGCACCTATCTGCAGAGGAGTAGTCTGAATAATATGCTGGCCTTTGGTATGTGAAAGTGACGATGCTTCCTGCTGCCAGAGCTGTGGGCTCGTCTTTGTCTTTTTAGGTGTGGTGACATAATTTGATGTTGTGTTTCCTCACCATCTTTTACCATATCTTTGAAATGCCCAAAGCTAAATATGTTGGAGTAAGAAGAGAAACTAAAATCTATAATTTTAAGCATCTTCTATGTGGCAAGTCCTAAATTAGGCCCATCAAAGCCCTGAGAAGTATTAATATTCACATTTTACAAGTGAGGAAACTGAGGCTCAGAAATAGTCTATAATGTACTTTATCTCACTGTTTGTCCTTTGAGTCTCTGTATGTCTGATTCCTAAATCTTGTCCATGTTTCTATTGTCTCTCTGCTGGACTGTGGGTCCTTAATTTAGGACCCTAGGTTTATGAACACTGAGCTGGCAGGGGTATATCATACATGTAGATTTGGGCAGGAAGAAAGAAAATCAATGCTTCTACTACTTGCTGCAGATACAGGCCCAATTTGTCCCAAGTACATGCAATTAATCAATGCAATTACACTGAATATTCCTTATGTAACATTACAGACTATAACCGCTGTGAAAACTACAGTAAGGAAAAGGTGTGCTGGATGGGAAGAGAACACGTGACTCTTCAGCACCATATTAGTGGGAGTGGTGTCAGTATGGTTCTAGTTTGAGTAGTTTGAACCTTCTTTTATTTCTCAAATTCAAAACCCTTAAAGATGGTTTGAAGAAACATGAGCAAATTTCTGGCTCTAACTTAGGTCTCACAAAGCTAACTTGTCTGAGATGGAAGGGGTGACTGGCCCCTCTATGCCTGAGCCTTGCAGCTAGGAGCTGTGCTTTGGCAAGGACATGACTAATTTCTTTCTTGAGAAAGAGAAATGAATTGACTTATTCTGCCTGGATAGTTTGTTAGTGTAGCTGTTTGTGTGCGTTTGAGTATTCAAATGCAGATGTTCCCAAATGCTTCCTCACTGAGAAACATCTGCTGCTGTTCAGCACAAAAATCTCAGAGAGATTAATATACAAAGGCAGCCTGAACCTTAGTGGCAAGCGCAGCATCTGTGTGGGGTGGGCCTATGATCCCCCCTAATAGCCCAAATCCCTGTTTCAGATCTACACTTAGTCTACAGGAGCCAGAACAAAGACAAGTGATTAATTTCAAATACACTTAGCTGATAAATACAATCACATGTTATTTGCCCAGGGGCTGTTGAACACTGGACTTTATTTCCTGTGGCAACTGATGGGAATGTAGATGTTTGGTCACAATGACTGATGTTTTCAGTGGCTGCTACTGGTATCTGCCTGGTAACAGCTCAGCCCAAGCAGCCTGCAGCCATCGGCACCCACACACACCTTAGCTGTGCATTAAGGCACACTGCACAGTTGATGAAGGTGCTCGCAGGCACTGCCCCATCACATCCCAGTTCTGTGATGTGTGTGCGGAACTGTTCTTAGCACCATTTTGTGAGTGTAGAAGGCAGGGCCAAGAAGTCCATGACTTTCTGGGGCTGCATAGCCAGTGCTAAATCCTGTTCTACTTCTGCCCTGGGCTGAGCTTCCTCCCTGATTTCAGAAGCTATGATGATGCATGCTTCATAAATTACATTGTCTTTCCCAGAGATGCCAGCCAGCAGGGCACTGCTTAAGAAGCCCTGCCCGCAGCAGTGATGCCTGCTAACGGGAGGATGCCAGGAAAGAGCTGATGTGCCTGTCCCTCCTCCACACCCCTGTTGGGAGATGTCTCGGTACTCTTCTTATGTTTAGAGAGTTTCAGTGAGGCAGCTCTTGTGTCTCCCTGGTATTTAGAGAAATGAAGAACCAGAAGCAGAGGATCCCAGAGCCCTCATTTGGAGTTGCCATAAACCAGAAGTTTCTGAACACAGTGCCGCCAAGGGTGCTGTGCATGCCCTGAGCCTTATAAATCCATCCTCTGCAGTATCCAAGGGCTCATCGCCTCCAACCAGATGTACTCTGTGGAGCTAGCTAGTGAATTATTTATTGTTTACACATTGACAGGGGCTCAAGCTGGATTTGAAAGCACTCAGCTCCTGGCTTGCTGCTGGTGCCTAGAAGTGTCTGTCTGGAAACCAAGGCTCAGGGATGTTCAGTGGCTATAGGTCCTGAGCTCTGAGCCTAGTGTGTCTGATCCTGAGCTGCCCAGGCTTGTAAGTGAAGGGCCTAGGTGTCTAAAGATGAGGGTAGCAAAGGGTGAAAGTCTGTGGACTGTGGACTGTGACCTACCTAGCCAGGTATGAATGGAGAAGAAGCCCAAAGAATAAGGGGGGGAAGGGCCACCGGAGGGGAAAGAAGCTGAGGCCAGGGCCTACAGCAAGTCAGGTAAAGATTACTAGGGTGGAGGGTATGAGCAGTGAAAACTGTGGTGCAGTGGCTGATATGACGTCCTAACCTTGTCCCCCAGCAGCTCAGAGAGTGGGGACCTAGGCTAACACAGTCCTAGTGGCATGAGGCTTGGGGATTCCATTACTGCCTCAGCCAGGGTCTAACTGCCCTAGCATACGACAGCCCCAGAATTGTTTCTGCTCTCACCACTCAGACAAAAACAAAAAAGCAAATTTCTATTTCTTCTCTGATTTCTAAATCTTTTTGTTGAAACATCTGTGCAATGATAAAAGCAACTCGCAACAGTATTGGGGCACTTTGCAAATGTCCATTCACAAGCACCATAAAAATGGTCTCAGTCATTTTCATCAAGAAGTGCTATTTCATAAGCAAAGAAAATAGGGCAGCCAATCTCTTGTATCTATGAAATATTAATACAGGTGTTCTGAAGAGCACAGACATGGAACCCATCTCATAAAGAAAGGCCCCTGTTCTGGCAGGGACAGCATCACCTCCTTGTTAGCTCCAGTTGGAGGGCCCGGGAAGCTTCCCTGCCCACCGTGACCAAGCACACCCTTTGTTCTGCTAGGGTCACATGTTCATGCCACAGAGAGGCAGCAGCGTGAAGAAACTGGGGCCACATGCCCAGTGACTCAGCACAGTGAAGGAGGGGAGGCAAGCTTTCAAGTTTCAGAATAAAAGGGACAGAAAAGGCCCAGCATAACATCCCTTTGTTCTCTGCACAAAGAACTTAGAAATTGAAGAGTTGTACCTAAATCCTGTGCATTTTGGTAAGAGTCAAAAAACATGGGGCATCCTCTTTGTTGATTTTGTCGTTGCTTTGATTTTTTGGTTTTGTTTGGTTTTTGGTACCTGTGTGGTACTGTTTTGACACAAAATTATTTTCATTAAGACCTCTAATTTTTCATCATTTTTTCAGTGCTGGGGAGTAAACCTAGGGCTTTACACATGCTAGGCAAGTGCTGTGCCACTGAGCTACAGCCCCAGTCCCATTAAGACCTTTAAAACAGAAGAGCTGAGCTGGGTGTGGTGGCACATGCCTTTAATCTGAGCACTCAGGAGGCAGAGGCAGGCATATTTCTGTGAGTTCAAGGCCAGCCTGGTCTACATAGCAAGCTCCAAGCCACCTGAGGCTACAAGGAGACCCTGTCTCAAAAAGACAAACAAAACAAAACAAAACAAAACAAAACAAAACAAAACAAAACAAAACAAAACAACAAAAGACCCAGAAGAGCTGGCTCAGCAGTTAAGAGTATTGGCTGCTCTCGCAGAGGACCCAGGTTCAGTTCCCAGCACCCATATGGTGACTAACAACCATCTGTAACTCCAGTTCTAGGGGATCCAGCACCCCCTTCTGGCTTCCTTGGGTACCACATGCACATGGTGCACTTACATGCAAGCAAAACAGTTATACACATAAAAAATAATTAAAAACCTTTTAAGACAAAGAGGATTTGGATTCTTTTTTTTTTTTTCCTCAAGATGTAGATGAATAGTGAGCAGTGTGCCGGGTCTAGGAAGGCAGCCTCTCCTACTACTGGAGAGGCTGATGCTCACAGTGGTCCTGGAGGATGAAAGGCTGAGGAGCTGTGTGAGCAAGAGGTGTGCCCCATTCTGAGGTGTTAGCTAGTTCTCCTCTTGTTCTGGTCCAGATCTAAGCCCTGCACAGTCACCAGCACTGTGGCATCACTGAAAGGATTATAAGTCATGGTGGGAAGTATGCCCTCTGTGCTGCTGTGGTCTCTCTGGGAGAACAGAGACATACCCAGCAGTGCAGCACCAAGTCTGGACTCTCCTCCAGTGCCCTGTGTTCAATCTCACATAGTAATGAATTATACCATAGCGGTTAATAGGTATTACAGAGCTGTAATATCATGGTGAATATTAGAATTGTCAATAAGTCTTTAAGATGAAAGTTACATGAAACATCACCTGTTTCTGTGAGATTAGGTATGGAAGCTGCTGATTAAATTGCCATTGTCTTGTTAGGAACTCACTGTTGGAGGTGCTTTTTATCAGTTCTGTGTGGGTCTGTGCCCAGCTGATAGAAACATCGTTAGGAATTGGATTGATGGTTGCAGGCGAACTCTGTGAAGTTTTATCTGCTGAAGCAAACCAGAGCAGTTTCTGATGAACTTTCATTTCCCTGCCTTATCCTTCCTTTCCAGGCAGCTTCGTCAGCCCTGAGCAGTCTGGGCCATGTATACACAGCCATTGGAGACTATCCCAACGCCCTGGCCAGTCACAAGCAGTGCGTTCTTCTTGCCAAACAGTCCAAAGATGAACTCTCTGAAGCCCGAGAACTTGGCAACATGGGAGCTGTGTACATCGCCATGGGTGACTTTGAGAATGCTGTGCAGTGCCATGAGCGGCATCTAAGCATAGCCAAGGACCTGGGGAGCAAGCGGGAGGAGGCCCGTGCCTACAGCAACCTGGGCAGTGCCTACCACTACCGGAGGAACTTTGACAAGGCCATGTCCTACCACAACTATGTGCTTGAGCTGGCACAAGAGCTGATGGAGAAGGCCATCGAGATGCGGGCCTATGCCGGCCTTGGCCATGCTGCCCGGTGCATGCAGGACTTGGAGAGAGCCAAGCAGTACCATGAGCGGCAGCTGGGCATAGCTGAGGACCTCAAGGATCGGGCTGCGGAGGGGCGTGCATCCTCTAACCTGGGTAAGGACTGGGCTGTGGAGGGGCACATCCTCCAGCCTGGGTGAGGACTGGGCTTCTGAAGGGTAGACATCCTCCAACGTGGGTGAGGACTGGGATGTGGAGGGGCACATCCTCCAGCCTGGGTGAAGACTGGGATATGGAAGGGCACATCCTCCAACCTGGGTGAGGACCAGGCTACTGAGGGGTAGACATCTTCCAACCTGGATAAGGACTGGGCTGCTCTCCCAACACGGGGCCAATGGCTAGGGTAGAAGTAGCTAGAGTAGTCACTGTCTTTTGCAGGAGTTTGTGTGTTTTGTTCAAAGAAGCTCTACGTGTAACTTTCCTCAGTCAAATCTCCTGAGCTTGCTTACTATAAATCACATGGTCCCTTCTGTCATCCTAGTGTTCTGAGGGTTAGAACCCTGAAGTGCTGGGAAAACAAAGCACCCAGCCTTTCTGCTCTTCTAGAGAGAAGAGCAACCTCACTTATCTGATAGAGAGACGGGGATGGAGATGACAGAAAGTTGTGTGTGGTTTAAGTACATGAGAGAATCTGGGAGAACTTTTGCTCATAGGGATTGCTGTACTGCTGAATTAACCTTGTAGTGCATTTTCCCCTAAAATTATGTGTATTCAAAAATAATATTGATAGCTTTAATATAAATGAAAAATATTTTTGCAAAAGACCTATTTGAAGAAAGTATATGTGCAGTCAGTTTTGATAGGATTTTACAATTAGGAAATTTTAATGTGAGTTTATGTAGAGTGGTAAAAGGCCATGAGTAATTGGAAAGTAGGTACTTTTTTTTTTTTTTCTCTTGGTCTTTTTTTGAGACAGGATCTCCCTGTAGCTCCATCTAGCCTGGAACTCACTATGTAGACCAGGCTGGCCTTGAACTCACAGAGATCCGCCTGCCTCTGCCTCCCAAGTGCTGGGATTAAAGGTGTGCTCCACCATGGGCAGAAGTAGGTACTTTTAAAAAAGTACTGTGTCTTTGTAGCCTAACAGATAAGGCTACACAGTGATGGAGGACACAGATGTGTTTGGAGCTATGAGTTGAATTCATTGCTATGCTCAAAGTGCCCAGAGTCCCCTGGCTCATTCTGTGCCCATAAAGATTGAGGGTGGGGAGGGACAAGAAGGTGACCTCACTGCTGTCTCTCCGAGTTTGTCTGTGTGCCTTCAGATCCCACTGGAAACAGAATGTAGCACTCCATGCCTTTTCTTAAGTTAACTGCCAAGCAGATGTCCCATCTCGTGTCTCATCCCTCCCCTCCACCTCTGCTGATTTTAACCGTATGCTCATGAATAGCTGTAAAGACCTGCAGCTTCTTAGAGATGGCATTGGGACCAGAATGGGAGTCTAGGTTTGTAGGCCTGCCTAACCATTTGACATTAGAGCATGATGTTGCCTTTTAATGAGTTCACACTCGAGAACCATGCAGTTGAATTACAAAAAAAATTCCCCAAATCTCATAATGTTTTAAATAAATTTAAGATTTTGTGTTGGGCAACATTCATAGCTGTCCTGGGTGGCATGTGGCCTGTGGGCCCTAGGTTAGACACACCTGGGAGAATCTGACAAGAGCCATAGTACTAAGTTCCTGGCTTTACATAAATTCTATAGATTATAAGTATTGATTGACTCCTTACCAGTGTGTGCATAAGTGATTAAAGGGATATAGGTGGTCCCTCCTCCCCCTGCCTTCAGAGAGCTTTTAATATAGTTCAGAAAGTGGCCCATAAACAGGGCAATAGGGTTTTACTTGCTTTTTTTTTTTTTTTTTTTTTTTTTTTTTTTTTTTTTTAAAAAAATTTTTTTTTTTGTCTTTTTGAGACAGGGTCTCCTTGTAGCCCCAGCTGTCTTGGAACTCACTATGTAGACCAGGCTGGCCTTGAACTCACAAAGATCCACCTGCCTCTGCCTCCCAAGTGCTAAGACTAAAGGCATGCGCTACCACGCCCTGCCCTCTTGCTTTTTTAGCCCTACCTCTTTGCACTGTTTTTTAGTAGTTGCTTTAAAGATTACTTCATGCATTCCTAACTTTTGATAGCCCCTAAAAGACCATGTGAGTGATGTGTTGCCATGAAATCCCTATGAGGGAGAGCCTGAGGGTTGGGGTAGTCTAGGAAGCTTCCAGACACAGGCAGACCTCACACATGTGAGATTTGCCAGGGAGTAGAATGGCCTTGATGGTGAGGGGCATGTGATGGGATAGATGTGGTGGGTTGGCAGGTCTGGGAGAAAAACCCTGAGCCTCCAGCAGAGACTAGAAGGTGGTAGATCCGCATGGAACCTGGGCAAGGGTGCACTCCGGGGCAGAAGCCTGGAAGTTGGGGGATACGGGAGTGAGGAGAGGGTGATGAGTCAGCCCAGGGCATGGAGGAGATGAGAAGCCTTGGCTCCTTGGTGGAGAAAGCTGTGTGTATTAGGCCATGCAGACTGTCCTTTTCATCTGTATCAGCTTTGGTAAGTTGTTTTTCAAACACTGCCTATCTGAGTTATTGAATTTGGGACCTAAAGTTGTTGGCATGTCCTTACTGCTCCTTCAGTGCTCGAAGGCTGTGTGGGCTGTGTGGGGATGTGCTTTCCTTACTACTGAGATCAGGCCTTTGAACTGAAACCCTTTCCCATGTTACATTTTTTTCTAGATTATTCTGGCTAGAAATGTATCAACTATCTTGATTTGTTTTTTAAAAAGAACCAAGCTTTGTTTTCGTTAGTGCTTTTTATTGTTTACCTGTTTCCTGTTTCATTGGTTTCTGCTTGTACTTTTTATCATTTTCTTCCCTCAACCTAGAGTCCCTGTTCTAGCTGAGATCAAACCCCATGCCTTTTCCTGGTAGAGTCACATAAAGACATGACATTCCTCACATAGCCTTGCCCATACCCCCACAGTCCTGCATTCCTCCCCCACAGCCTCCCCGATACTCCACAATTTCTGTACTGTGCTTTCACTTTTGTTGAACTTAAATAATTTTATAAAATCATTTTAACCTGTGTTTAACCCTGTGACGTATTGGCTAATTTTGGAGACTGCATGGTTGGAGACACTTGCGTAGTATAGGTAAGGTCCTTGGTTCAATACATAAAAAAAAAAAAAAAAAAAAAAAAAAAAAAGAAAGCAAACATTGGGCTGGAGAGATGGCTCATTGAGTGCTTGCTGGGCAGGCATGTGGCCCTGAGTTTGGAGCCCCAGCACCCATATAAAATGCCTAGTGTGGCTATGTAAACCTGTAACCATGGGGAAGAGGTTGAACAAGGACTGGAGGATCCTGAGGGCTCGCTGGCCTTCTAGTCCTACTTCTTTGCTGAGCTTGGGGGCTGGTCTTGCAGACCACTGGATTTGCAGTTGATGGAAGAAATAAAGATGGTCTCTGACTCACCAAATGGATGGCTGAAAATGACAGAAGATTTAATGAATGTGTGTGTGTGTGTGTGTGTGTGTGTGTGTAAGCCTGTGTGCATGTATATGGGTACACATGTGTACACCCGTGTGTGGAGGCCAGAGGTTGACATGGGTGTCTTCCTCCATTGTACTCTGTCTCTATGTTGAGGCAGGGTCATCCACTGAGCCCAGAGCTCACTGATGGAGCTACTCTAGCTAGCCTGGGCATCCTGTCTCCACCCCTTGAGCACTGGCATTACAGGTAGGCCACCATGCCTGCCCAGTATTTACATGGGCACTAGGGGTCCAAAGTCATGGCTACATGCTTGTGCTTTACCCACGGAGCATCTCTCTGGCCCTGATTTAGTGAATGTTGACAAACATTGACAGAATCTTTAAACCTAGGAAGAGAGAAGATTAAAAACAGGAAGAGAACTGTGGTCCAAAACTTATAAATACAAGATGGAACATACAGGCCAAGAAAAATATTTGAAAAATTATGGGTAAAACTTGCTTAAATTTGATGAAAAATATGTAGGTAGATAGGGGCTCAAAAACAAAAACCTAAGGTCAGGCATGGTGTCTCATGCCTTTAATCCCACTACTCAGGAGGCAGAGGCAGGCAGATCTCATGAGATCAAGGCCAGCCTGGTTTATGTAGTGAGTTCCAGGCCAGCTAGGGCTACAGGGGAAAACACAAAAGCAGAGGAAGGAAAATAGAAAGAAAGCCTGATATCAGCATATTATTCTCAAACTGCTGAAACCTGAGTTACAGGAAATCTTAAAAGCAGTCAAGAAAAAAAGGGAAGATGCATGTATACTTTATCAGAAGCAAAGGAGATCAGAAGACATTGGAAAGATACATTTTAAGTGCTGAAAGAAAGATTTTTTTTTTTTTTTTTTGGAAAAACTATCAACCTAGTATGCTATATCCAGTCAAACTGCCCTTCAAGGATGCAGGCGGGCCAGGTGCAGAGGCATACACCTGTAATCCCAGCACTCAGGAGGCTGAGGCAGGAGGATGGATGCAAGTGGTTCTAAGCTACACAGGGCTACAGAGCAAGATCCTGTCTAAAAAAAAAAAAAAAAAAAAGTCAAACAAACAAACGGGAATGAAAGTGAAAACTAAGATACTTTGGTGAACCAGAAATGCCAGTGAAATTCTTGGGCAGAGGAAACCAGGTGGAGGCCCAGTATTGAGGGGAGAACATGAACACACGGATAAACACAGATACTGTTTTCCTCTAAAGTCATAAAAGCAGCTGCATAAAACAAAAACACAGCACTGCATTTAAAATAATGCAGGTGTAGCGATACCTGTGGCGGCACAATATGAACTGCAGTAGATGCACTTGAGTGCACCAGAGACCTGGGTTTCACAGGAAGCAAGCTACTATCAGCTCCAAGTGAGGAAGTCATCAGAGCAACTTCTAAAAGGCAAATGTCAAAAATAAAATACAAGAAGCTAAACTCACCCATAGGAAGCAGAAAAGGAAAAACAAAGGAGCAAATGTAAACGAGGGGAACAGAAACAACAGTAATGTGGTAAATCTAAGTCCAACAACCTGTGATTACCTCCAATATATTAAATAGACAAAATTCTCCAATTAAAAGGCCATGGAAAAAGC